CGTACAAAGCCGTATTTAGACCGGTGCTTGTTATCGCTAAAGTTTGTCATAACCGTTCTGTAAAAGCATCATAAAACAAGACAAGTTTCAAAGTAGAATAATTTTCACGTTGGTGGGTGAAAAAATCATAAAATTTGGTTGAATAGCTTTAAAATTATATGTATTTGAATTCGGCTAATTGTTATGCCTGATATAGGCAGAGGATATTCTGCGCGACGGCGCGGGACCGAAAAATCGCTGAAATTTTAAAAATTAATAAAAATTCCGAATTCCAAATAGTGTTTGTTTGTTCTTGGGGTAAATACATTTCATTGTGAAATTAACGAAGAATTTCATTTTCGGAGCCGAGAGTCATTGGTCAGTTCTTAGAGAGACAGCCTCTTAAGTTTCTTATTTTTTGATCAAAAAAGAATAAATTTTGTTTTTTCAGTATTTATAGATAGCTTATTTTCATTAAACCAATCTGTAATTTTATTCATTTCATTTTGAATAATTTCATTCAACTTTAAGTTAAAATGTAGTTCAGAGCTTTATACAACCGGCCCCAGATATTTAACTTAGGGACCGTTCATTTTTTATCAGGAGGGGTGGGCTGGTGGTTTTTGCGGGGGACCACCAGAAAAAATAATGATGTGAATGGGTCACCTCAGGAAAATTAAATTTTGAGGGGGCCATCAAAACATCAATGAATACATAATATATAAAAATCAAAGCAAAAACTTTCGTACTCTTTCATTTATAAAAACTCAAAGTTGGCAAAGTAAAGTTTTAGTACATGCATGCAGTCAATTTAAATTTAAAGTACACATGTAAAAATTAGGAATTTTACATATTTGTGATATTCAGTGCATTTTAAAACGCAATTTATTTTCTTAGGAAAAAACTTCATGGCCGTTTATTAAAAGTTACTGGAAGTGACATTTGGTATTAGAGTCAAACCGGATGTTTTGTTCCCATGAGTTTTGCAACATTGAATCAATCTAGCCGTGAACTCTATTTTTTTTTATCTGGAACGATAACATGCGGGAGAAACGTGAAGCAACGCCACTTCATGCTAACGCCAGCATGCTGACGCGCACTGATTCATGATAGACCGCGCGGTGATGGCGTATAAGGGGACTGAAGCTGACATACTATATGGCGTGGCAAAACAGCTGGGCATTTTGTACGGAGCATGCGCGAAAAAATCAATATGGCGACATATATTTATAGGAGTGCTTCGTGTATTTATCTGGTTTTAAAGCTGATAAAACAACATTTCAATGAACAAAAACTTTGTAATATTTAGTGGAAAACATTAAGCTATGCAATCCAAAGGTTTTAAATTAAAAATAAGTACTTTTGCTTTATTTTATTGCTTTTTATGCTTTCAAAATAGGCAAGCTCATTTTTTTTTGAAAGAATCTAAACTAATATTTTATCCATCATTTGTTTAATCTGAACAGAAATTGATAGAACAGTTGGCTACATAAGTTATAAAGGGAATTGGTAGCTGATCTGAAAGATTTCAGTATTCCTGGTACACATTTTAGCAAAGAATGACTGTAATTTTAAAAATTAAATATGCATATCAAAAACAATAGTTTTTATTAGAAGTATTTAGAACAACACATAATAAGTTGTTATTTTCTATTTTTACAAAAACAAGTTTGGAAACAGAATCTAGTCGTCCAGTTTGATGTCATATTCCATTTATTTGGATATTTGAATAAAGGAATGTGAAATAATAATTGAAACTTGTCCAAAATTTGATACCAACACTCAAGTGAACAGATACTATCACCTAAAAATAAAAGAAAACACAACTTAAATTTGTCATATAATGCTATGAAAAAGTCTTAGATACTACAGGCATATAGTGAGCACAATGCTTCAACAAACTCACTAAAATAAGTTAAGTTATGCTATGATAAGAGGATGGCAATATATGACAGCATCAAATGTTACCATCTTCAGTGTCCAAAAAAAGTGCCGCGCGCATTTTTCCCAGCATACCCACTAACTTTTCCATGAAGGTTGACTAATAAGGATAATTTTAAGCCATATTTCGGAGAGAGGCAATGGTAAAAATTTTAAGATATTTTTATTTATATGCCATATCACCACAGAATTTCACAAAGCAAGCATGCCTATATTCAGGATTGCCGTTAGACTCTTAAAACTGAACAAATCAATGCGGCATTTCTTATCTCATAACAACCAATACTTGAACATTTTCAAAATCATTTTTGCAGCAATTTTTACTTTATAACAAACCAATACAGGAGCAATTTCATAAGCATGTGACAACATGACATTTTCACTTCACAAGTGGATTTGTCAATTACAACATCTAGCACATTTTTCCCATGAATACCTCAGGTTTTAATAAAACAAAGTATCATTTAACTTTCATAAAATATATTTTCTAACTGAAGGCAACGGCCAGTTTTACGAAATTGCAAGAGGAATATGTGTCATTTTCATCAAAATATGTATTTTAAGACACTTATTATTCCAGATGAGGAAGAACAAACAAATTATTGAACATACCTGTGGAAACAACAACAACTCAGCTTCTATCAAGAGTAAAATATGAACACTTCCTTGTTTCCATACTGCTGTACCCTGCTTCTGAAACTCTGACAATGAGTGAAACATTTCCACTTGTCGCCCATTTGTAAATAAAAATTCTTCGCACGTTTTCATGCGATTAAGTCGTTATATCGTTGCGTACAAGCACTACAACTTAATCTTTCAAGAAACACTTTATTTTCCATGAACAAACCAGTAAAAGAGGACAAAAAATCCTCTCACAATGCATATTTTCAGCGTTCGAAGAATCAAAATGTTTGTTAAAGAAATGCGCCCGCAATATTTAGACAGCGACAACAGAATGCCCAGCTGTTGCGTGGCAATGGACCACACGGTGATGGCATATAAAGGGACTGAAACTGACATACTATGTGGCATGGAGGGCTGCAATCCAGCGAACTCAATCTATTTACCTGGAACACGATAATATTCACTTATTTGGCAGTTAAAAAGTGAAGCCTTGTGTGAGAAATACGCGTATGAGCAGTGGCGTCAGCTCTCCATGATCACGCCAAATAGTACATCAGTTTCAGTCCCTTTATACGCCAGCCATCATTGTGTGGTCCATCGGTAATTGGTAACTCTGCCAGTTTGGGAACATATTTTTATACATATTTTTAATAACTACTACCGCAAAATAAATTCCTCTTTGGCAATGAATTTAGCATGTTATTTAGTATTTTATATCACATTATGTTTAAAATGGGCATATTTCTTCACTAATACTTTTAATTTGTAAAACAAAAAGCGAAATATTAGTCCTCGTCCTCGTTTTGGATTTGTTATTTTTCATGATAGGAACTTGAGAAATTGACAGTTGCAACTTGCATGTTTCGATTGCAATTTGTTCGGAGCAATGGTTGATTCCAGCTATAGACAAAATTTTGATCAAGTCAAGAATGAAATGGAACACCGCAGCTAGAAAGAGCGTCTTAGAATGAGTAAAACTACCAAGATGGGTTGGTAAATGTTGTAAAATGAAGAAAATATAGCCCTGTGAAATTCGCAAATTTTGTATACATTTGTATTACGCGTGGTAAAAATAATCACTTTCTGCTCAAAAATGGTTATTTTGTCCGTGTGTAATGCAAATATATACAAAATTTGTGAATTTCACAGGGCTATATTTTCCTCATTTTACAACAATTCACAACCAAACTTTGCAATTTTACTAATTTTAAGGTGGCTCGATACAGTTTTCGAAAATTCAGGTGTTTAAGAGGAGATTTTTTAAAAAGTCGCGTATTTTTTCCGAAAAGCGATCAAAGCTTAGCGGCCAGGCCTTCGCGAAAAAATAATGCGCCGCCATCTTGGTTTTAAAAGTTTCCCAAAATTTGCGAAGACAAATAACAGAATTTTACTGAATTTTTGTCTATGTTACGAGCCAAAACATTGCCAAATATAAAGACAGATGACATGGTAAGTGTAATGTCGTATTTAATAACTGTTATTTGAATTATTATTATATAAACTGTGCACATGTATCTGACTCAGGAGTGAGCACTGAGCATTCAAACCCGTCATCTATAATAATATTAATATAAAACTGATTGAAAGTGACTGCTTTCGTCCTTTAAATGATGGCCTGCCTGTTCACAACTCATTAATAAATGTACATGCAAAATTGTAAAGCACTCTGTTTGAATTTTCAAGGAAGAATTTGTCAATTTGAGTATTTGTAAACAGTTTTTCGCCTCTGGTACTTTTGCATATTTCCATATTAAAGACATTTCACTGCAAGTGCACATAGTCCATGTATCTGTAATTTTAAACTTCATACTGTTTTGTGCACATGCAGCTGTTGCCGTGTTTCAGGTATACCATGCTAGTCACTACAAGTTCCCTTTCTGATATAGAGTTGTGATGTACTGCTACCGTAAACCTCCGACTCACGACTATAAGCCCCCCCCCCCCGAACATAGACGGATTTTCATGTTTTTTACTGGGGTGGTGCCAGAAATTTTAGGGGGGTGAGCCGCGAGCAGGTGACTGAAGCAACACAAAGTGTCACCAAACCCCAGTAGGGTCTATATTCTAGGGGTGTAGCACTAGAGCCGCGAGTGGGAATCTAGAGAGCTAAAAACAAAGTATCCCTGATATTATATATATATATACAAAGTATCCCTGATATCCTTCTATTTGAGTGTACTCCTACGTTTATATTGTATCATCAACACTCTGCACGTTGGAGTGGACTATTTAATTATTTTTTATTATGCCGAATATTGGGGGGGGGGTTGAAATTTTTTTTGGAGGGGTGGACATTTTGTTTGGGGGGTTATAGCTAATATTGGAGGGGTAGACAAAATCCGTCTATGCCCCCGAATATAAGCCCCCCCCCCCCATGTATAAGCCCACCACATGTACTAAAGCTCACCTCATTCCGAGGTTTATGGTATATGTATATAGTATATTAATTAAAGTAATTGGAAACCAAAATTTCATGGGATATAAGTAACAATTGCAAGTGGAATTAATAGTTGAAATCTACTTTCCCTCATGCATAGAACTTGATGTGGTATGAGGGTTGCTAAGCCCGGGCTGGTCTAACCGGAGACTGGGCTGTATTATACGGATAATAACCTGACACAAATCTTAATCCAATCACTTTCCACCCACAACAAAGTTTATATTTAGTATCCAATCAAAATGTCACAGGAGAAATTAAAATTTCGCACAACGACAACAACAATCTGATTATAGTTGTGATCACTATAAAATATATCAACAACAACAGTATCTAATTAGCACCAACCAATCAAATGACAGATTGAAAAAATCTTTTGTCTCGTAGACCAACCAGATTTACAACTGAAATACGGTTGTAAGGCATGGACTTTTGTTTAGGTTTGTTTCAGGCCTATTTATTTATTTATAGGCCTGATGGCAGGTTAGGGCCTGACCAACAACTGAGGTAGGATGCATCATCACTATGGACCCCAGACAGGCATGTCAATTTTTGGAAATCAAAGTTGTCTATAAAGTCATAAAGACCCAATACTTTATTTCACAAAGAACTGCCTCCCCCAATACCCCCAAGTAAATCCATCCCACTGCTACACAAAAGAATACTTCTTTCCCTCTAAGTTTACAATGAAAGTATATTTTTTACAGATCTCTGCGATATTACT